TTGAGCTCACTTTGTAGCCCAGGCTGGTCTCGAATTCACCATGATCCTCCTGCCTCAGCCTTCCGAGTGCTAGGATTACAGGCATGCGCCACCACGCTCTGCTCTTTCTTTCTTTCTTTCTTTCTTTTTTTTTTTTTTTCCTCTTTTTTTCCAATTCTAACCATTGGCCGGGCACACCTGTAATCCCAGCACTTGGGAGGCTGAGGCAGGAGAAACACTGTGAGTTTGAGACCAACGTGGGCTATATAGTAAATTCAAAGCCTGCTTCAACTGCTTTGCAAGACACTGTCTCAGAAAAAATCAAAACAAAGATCTGAACATTAAATACCCATAAGGAAGTATGTAGCAAGAGAACTTATGCTTGTCTTCAGATGTGTGAACTATCTGATGGTACCCTCCTCCTGTGGTTGGAAAATCAGTCTCTCTGCCCTTCCTCCTCCTCAATAATTCACAGAGATCCGGAAGTAAACAGTCCACTAACCCTGCCGATAACTACTACCTGGCCCGGAGGAGAACCTTGCAAGTGGTGGTGAGCTCCTTGCTGACAGAGGCAGGATTTGAGAGCGCCGAGAAAGCGTCAGTGGAAACACTGACCGAGATGCTGCAGAGCTGTGAGTACCGGGAAGCATCGGGCCGTTTCCAAGTCAACCCCAGTGCCTGTACCGTGCCCTGCATTGTGATGGTGGGAGATAGCGTTGGAGGGGAAAACGGCACAGTGAGGCAATTTACAGACCGTAGAATCAGATGAATGTGAATGTAAATCATCCCTCTGCCACTTAGTGGTTTGGACCGGTCACCAAACCTCAGTTTCCTTGCTCGAAATGGAGTAATAATTTGTACCTGTGAGTATAAGTGGGAAGTATATGCAGGATGATCAGTGCGGGGAGGTTGTGAACTCCTGATGACTTATAGGTGCTCTGCTTACTGGTTTTTCCTCTCTTCTCAAGGGACTTGTGCTTTTGTTGAGGAGGCGGGACTGAGTGCCATAAAATAGATACCACCACATTATGTAGTCAGCTACTGGATCGTGATACAGAGAATGAGGATGGATGAGTTTTATGGAGTGGAAAAAATATTTTTGTTTTGTACTTTGTCTTTTTGAGACAGGGTCTCACTACGCAGTTCAAGCTGGCCTTGAACCCACTTTGTAGCCCAGGCTGGCCTCGAACGATAACAATCCTCCTGCCTCAGCCTCCCGAGTGCTGGGATTACAGGGGTGAGCCACCATGCCCGCCTGGAAAAAAGTATTTTTGAAAGGACAGGTCTTAGCCATGCGTGATATCACATACCTAGAATCCCAGCTACTCAGAGCCTGAGTCAGGAATATCGTAAGTTTGAGACGAGCCTGGACAACTTAGTGAGAACCTGTGTTTAAAAACAAACCAACCAAAAAAAATTTAAAAAATAAAAACAAACCAACCAACCCAGCATGGAGGTACATTCCTATAAGCCTAGTTCCCTGGGAGGTTCAGGCAGAAGACTGCAGGTTCAAGGCCAATCTGGGCAACTTAGTGAGACCCTACTTCAAAATAAAATGAAAAAGGTTGGGGTATAGCTTGGTGATAGGATGCTTACCTAGCAACGGTGTTTGTAAGGGAGTGGCACCTGCGAAAGTAGATCGGAGGAAGGTTTGGTTAGAGAGAGATGTTGACCTGCAGTGCTGCACTGCAGAGAGAGATGCTGGGGCCGGGGATTTAGCTCAGCGGCACAGCACCTGCCTGGCAAATGTGAGGTCCTAAGTTCGATTCCTGGTATCAAAAAAAAAAAAGATGTTGAATTGCAAATCTGTTTTGTGACATGTATCGAGATTTCATTCCTTTTGTTTGTTTTCTTTTTTGGTACCTGCAGTCAAACTCAGGACCTTGCATTTACGATTTCATTCATTTTGAAGATGAGTATTCCACTGTGTGGAATGAAAATCAGTCTATCCATCTATATTTTCTCTGTCAGGGTGCAATCAGTTGTTCCTACCTTTTCGTTATTCCGAATAATACTGCTCTGAACAGAGCATACACGTATCTGCCTGAATCCATTTTCAGTTCATTTGGGTATAGACCTGGAAGTGGCATTGCTGGCGCCCGTGGTAATTCTATGTTTCACTTTTGAGGATCTGTGACAGACCCTATGGCTTTGATCCTCTCATAGACATTTCAGAAATCGGGAGGAGCGCCAAGTCGTACTGCGAGCACACAGCCAGGACCCAGCCCACGCTGTCGGATATCGTGGTCACACTGGTGGAGATGGGTGAGTACGGCTCCACGCCCCCTTGTGGTTCCCTAATCTGCATTATTTAGCTGGAGAATTATTACAGGAGGGCTCTTGTAAGACCATGTAATGGACTCCTCACCCGCCTTTGGGGTTCATGCTGGCACTTTCTCCAAGGGCCCACACAGTGGTTGTGCCAGGAGTTGAAGCCCTTTCCGTGTTTCCTGTCCAGTGGTCCAGGCAGGGCTGTGTTTTCTCCTCTCATAGGTTTCAACGTGGACACTCTCCCTGCATATGCAAAACGGTCTCAGAGGATGGTCATCACTGCCCGTAAGTGACTTCACTGAATGTTTAGTAAGTGCTCAGCTAGTGCTTGTGGGTGAGCTAGGAGTTAAACAGGGGCAGGACCAAATTGTTTCTGTCCCCCCCCCCCCGCCCCCCGGAGAAACAGTTTGTCTGTTTCCGGCTCCCTTCTAACCTCTGGAGTCACCCTCAACCTAATTCACAGTGATCCTGCTGCCTTAGCCTCTGAGTGCTGGGATTACAGGTGTGTGCCATCACACCTGTCCTAAAGTCACTCCCTCCCTCCCTCCATCCCTTATTTCCTTCCTTTAGACAGGGTCTTGCTATAGTATTCAGGTTGGCCTTGATCTCATGGTGATCCTCCTGCCTCAGGCTACCAAGTAAAGTCACTTTTTTCATATTGGTATCTTTTTAAGAATTTTTCGTAAGCTGCAAATTTGAGGCCAGCCTGAACTGCATACTGCGAACCTGTCTCAAAAAAAACCAAAAAAATCGAGGGGCATGATGGTACACACCTGTAATCCCAGCATCAGGAGGTTGAGGCAACAGGATCGGATTGCAATGAATTTAAGGCCAGCCTGGGCTACATAGTGAGCTCAAGGCCAGCCTGAACTGCATAGTGAAACCCATTTCAAAAAGGACAAAAAAAAAAAAAATTCTTCTCAAAGTATCAGTGGAGGATGCTATTTTCTTTTTTGTTTGTGTGTGTGTTTGGTTTTTCTTTTCTTTTTGGTATCAGGAATTACATTCACAACCTTGTGCTTGCCAGGCAGGCACTGTGCCACTGAGCTATATCCCCAGCCCTGTGTGTGTGTGTTTGTGTGTGTTTCAGACAGGGTCTCAATAATGAAGTTCAGGCTGGCCTTGAGCTCACTTTGTAGCCCAGACTGGTCTCGAACTCTCAACAATCCTCCTGCCTCAGCCTCCCAAGGGCTGGGATTACAGGCGTGCGCCAGCACTCCCAGCTGTGTTCTTGTTTTTGAGACAGGGTCTCACCATATAGTTAGGCTAGTTTTGAACTCACTGTGTAACCCAGGCCAGTCTCAAACTCTCAGTGATCCTCCTGACTCAGCCTTCCACGTGGTAGGATTATAAGTGTGTGTCACCACACCTGGCGGAAGATGCTATTTTCAACTCCCTCTTGCGATTCCAAGCTCCCCAGCTCCACATACATCTTTGCTGTTTGGGGCCTGAATGTTCAAGGGGTGTGCAGTGACTGAGCCGAAGGCCTTCTGTATAACTAATGTGCTGTACCACTGAGCCACACTGCCAGCCCTGGGGTCTCTGGACAGAGCACTTGCAGCCCCCTGACTTGTGCAGTTCTGCATGCTCTTTCGTGTAACTACCTTGGTCACAGCCACCCACCTAATAACCTAAGAGGTTTTCAGGATGTTGCCACAGGTGGGAAGGTCAACTGAGCACAGCCCGTGGGGCAGGCACTGCAGATGTGGCCTTCTCGGGTTCTTAAGCCCTCAGAGGCTTTCTGCTGATAGAAGTACCGTGGTCCGGGGCAGGGGAGATAGCTCAGCAGCGCAGAGCCTGCCTGGCAAGCGTGAGGTCCAGAATTCGATTCCCTGTACCAAAAAAAAAAAGGAAAAGTGTGGTCCGGTAAGAAGAGGAGGAGGATTTGGACAGAGATCAGTCAGTAGGACCAGGGCCGTGCTGGAGGAGTAACGCGTTGTGATTCTCTTGCAGCTCCAGTGACCAATCAGCCAGTGACCCCCAAGGCCCTCACGGCGGGACAGAACCGACCCCACCCGCCGCACATCCCCAGCCACTTCCCAGAGTTCCCTGACCCTCACACCTACATCAAAACCCCGGTGAGTGGCGGCGCGGGGCTGGGCGAGGCTGCCCGACTGCGTAGAGTTGGCTGCTGCCTGCGGCTGGCCTGGAGTCAGAGGTGGTTGGGGGAAGAGGGGTTTAGGCCCCACAGTGTCTGCCCACCAAGAGGCAGCATGGCGAGTGAGAAGTATGTCCTCAAGTTGCCACCGAGGAGGTGGAAGCCAGAAATTGCCTGACCCAGCTAAACACAAAAGAACTTAGCCCCACAGAAGCAAAACTGGAAGGATGCTCCATAAAACAAACTCCTGGTAACTCCTGGGAGAGTATAGGTAGTTCTGGTCATGCTCTCTATGTACTTTTCTGGGTTTTCACATTTTCCATAACAGAAAAGTCATTTGTTTATTCATTGATCGTTTAATTCATGGGTGGTTTGTGGTAGGTACTGAGGCTGGAACTTGAGGCCTTCACTCGAGCTGCTTCCTCAGGCCTTTTCTGTTTCTTATGTTGAACGGGGTCTCTTAAGTCACTAAATTGCCCAGGCTGGGTTCACATTTGTAGGCTTCCTCCCTAAACCTTCCAGAGTGGTAGGATTACAGGTATACCATGCCCAACTTTTTTTTTTTTTTTTTTTGAGACATGGTCTCAGAACTCATGGTCCTGGTGAGCTGTGAACTCAGTATGTAGCCCAGGCTGGCTTCAAACTTGTGACTTTCCTGCCTCAGCCTCCTGTGTGCGGGAATCACACATTTTTCTTAATTTTTAAGATTTAAAACAAAGATAGATGTATTTCCATCATTTTCTTTCTGCCTTTTCACTGCTCAGAAGGATGGTGGAGGCCAGTTTAGGAGATGGAGGGCCTCTGGCAGCAGGGCAGAGAGCAGGGAGAGCAGGGTTGCTCACTGGCATCCCCGCCGATGTGTTTGCAGACATACCGGGAGCCCGTATCCGACTACCAGGTTCTGCGGGAGAAGGCCGCGTCCCAGAGGCGCGACGTGGAGCGGGCGCTCACCCGCTTCATGGCCAAGACAGGCGAGACGCAGAGCCTTTTCAAAGACGACGTCAGCACCTTCCCATGTGAGCGCCACCTCCCGCAGCCCCAAAGCGTCATTACTGATCACCATGCTGTTTCCCTTTCTCTCAACTCAAGCTACTCCGTCCTCTGCTGCAGCATGTTCTTCCAGTTTCAGGCTCCTCCCAGTCAGGAGAACCGGTTGCTGACCCTGCAGGACTGGCTGCTAGGGATAGGTTAGTTTTCGGTCACCACAAGCGTGGCTGAGCCCAAGGCCTGGAGAGACTCCCACAGAAGTGGCGGCCCCTGGAGCAGGTGGGAGCTGGTGTCAGGGCTGGCCGCTGTCACAAGGCCCCTCCCTGGTGCCATCGCTTAACCGTGCATCTCTGCACCATCTGGTCAGGTGGTCCAGGTCGCTCCCCCCATGGCAGCCTGGGTTCTGCGGTAACAGCAACTGGGTCACCAAGCGCCACACTGTGCTCCTTGCTTCCCACCTGCTGTGGTCCTCTGCGAGCCCGTGAGTCAGGACTGTCACTGTCACCTGTGGAGCAGGCCAAGGCCTACACCAGCTCAGAGTCACAGGCTACGAGGTGGCGTGCAGGCCTCACTCCTTCGGGTGCCTGACCCTGCCTCTGCTCCACAGGGAAGGTACATCTAGGGCTTCTCCCGAAATCACACTCTACCACAGAAGAATGTACAGATGTATTTAATTATTGTTACGGTTTTTAATTACAAACCCCCATATTATTACAGGAGTCTCACTATGTTGTCCAAATGGGCTGTGAATTCCAGTGCTCAAGTGATCCTCCTGCCCCAGCCTCCTAAAAAGCTGGACTACAGCCATACACCACCCTGGCTGGCTAATACTTTTAAGTCAAGTTCTTGCTCTCCTCATTGCTTTTGGGAAGAACTGAAACTCATTTACCAGAAGTGTCTTTTAGCTCAGTGGACACTTGCACACAGAACTCTCGAAGTCAGCCCCTGGACTTCCGTCCTTCAGGTTGAAAAGATAAATATCCCTGTGCTAGGAATGAAGCTTAGAGCCAGGCACTGTGGTGCTTAGTTATAATCCCAGCTACTCTGGAGGCTGAAGCAGGAGGATTGCTTGTTCCAGACAAGCCTGGACAATTTAACAAGACCCTATCTCAAAATTTAAAAAAAAAAAAAAAAAAGCCAGGTGTGGTGGTTCATACCTGTAATGCCAGCACTCAGGAGGCTGAGGCAGGAGGAATGCCATGAGTTCAAGGTCAGCCTGGGCTCCTAGCAAGACCCTGTGTCAATAAATTTTTTTTTTCCGGTACCAAAAATGGAACTCATGACCTTGTGCTTGCCAGGCAGGCGCTGTGCTGCTGAGCTGAATCCATAGTCCCAAGAAAAATTTTTTAAAAAAAGAGAGAAAGAGTGAAATGGGTGTAGCTCAGCAGTAGAGCAATTGTTAGTGTGCAGGAGGCCCTGGGTTCAGTCCCCACCGGTGCAACGGAAGGAAGGGAGGGAGGGAGGAGGAGAGAAATGAGGCCTAGAGGGTTGACTGACCTTGGACGAGAGGTCACACAGCCACCACCGCATCACTGGGACTCCACCTATCACCTGATCGTCCTGTGAGCAGTCACACTTGCTGACAGTGGATGCTGGTGTCTCACTGCCTGAGTTCGAATCCCTCTCTGCCGTTTCCTGTGTGCTTGAAAAAAAGCGTGCTAGCCACTGTGCCCCGGGCTCATTGTCTGTGCATGGGGTGATACCCGCACGATTTATGGACCGTGCCTCCCTTCCTGTCCCCAGTGATTGCCGCCCGGCCCTTCACCATCCCCTACCTGACGGCCCTGCTGCCCTCGGAGCTGGAGATGCAGCAGATGGAGGAGACAGACTCCTCGGAGCAGGACGAGCAGCCGGACACAGAGAACCTGGCCCTGCACATGAGCACGGTGGGTCCCGCCCGCCTGCCTGGCCCCTTGCCTGGGGATCCAAAGGCCCCAGCCCAGTTGGGGGGAACGATGATCTGATTGAGGGTGGCCTGGTCCCCAGCTAGGAGACATCCAAGTCCCAGGGAGTCACCCATTCATTGCACTAATGAACCTGCTGGGACCAGGCAGAGCACCCGGTGCGCTGGGAACTGGTGGGAGGGAGAGGGATGGAATTCCTGCCCTAACGGCAGGGACAGGGTGGGGAGAGTGGGAGTTAGAATGTGACACTTGTGCCACACTCTATCCTCACAGCAGGCTCTCCCAGTTGGCCTCGATAGCTGTGAAACAGGAGTCTGTGACCTTCTTGCCGTGGAACCCTTGGTGTCACCAGGGGGCACCGCTCACCCGGCTCCCAGGCCCCAAGCCTGCGCGCCTCTCGGTCAGATGTTCAGGGTGTGATTTACCCCCGCCCTGCACCCTCTGCTCACTTTAGAGAACGTGGAAAATAGAGGAAAGTATCAGTAAGCAAGAGAACCACTCAGGTTCCAGGGCAGTTTTTAAAATTTCAATGTATTGCTTTTTTTTCTAAGTGTACACAACTGTAATATTTTAAGAATTTTAATTGCAATAGCACCAAATATATGTGAACTAAAGATTTCTCCAGAATCACGTTTTCCTCGAATAAACAGCAAAAGCCCCAATAAGGTCACAGATAGGTGGCATCAGGGATGGGCACACGGTGGTCCCTGCACTTGGGCTCTGCCGTGTCGGGACCCCAGGACCCGAGACGTTTCTGGCCTGGGTTAGAGTGTGATCATTGTCACCAGGTTGTAAGTACAGGAAGTTGTAGCATTTGGGGAGAAACTTGTTCCAAGGCGTTCGGTTTGGCCTGGGCGACCCCTGAGGACGCAGTGTGCTCCCACGTGGTCTCTAGTGCTGAGGTGCTGGCCATTCTTTACCCAGCACTGCGCTGGGCTTCTCTGAGGAGCACCTGAATTGTAGCTTCTGCCCGCTGCTGAGCCGAGCCCTGGACCCTGTCCTGGTGCTGCGCAGGGACGGAGCGGGGAGTCTTGAATTCTCGCAGCAGTTGCCTCCTGGGCGAGCCTGGAAGGAGGCTCCCAGCTCCTCCGCTAGGGGACAGCTGCCCACAGCGATTCTTGGTGCTGGCGCGATCTCTCCCTTATGCCGTGGGTGTTTTGCTTTGTTTTGGCTTCTGCTCAAAGGATGAGTCTGGGGCAGAGAAGGAGAACACTTCCGTCCTGCAGCAGAACCCCTCCTTGGCAGGCACCCGGAATGGGGAGGACACCATCATCGACAACCCCTACTTGCGCCCTGTGAAGAAACCCAAGATCCGCAGGAAGAAGTGAGTTGGGGGCTGGGGTCCCGGGCGCCCCCTGTGGCCTGCCTGGCTGCTGCTTGCCAGGAGAGAGCGGGTCCAAGACCAGGGACCACCCGTCACGCCCTGCTGGCTTCCCGTCAAGGGCTGCGTGCTGCTGCGTCTCTCTAGGTCCCTGTCCTGAGCTGACGAGGAAGCTGGCTGGCAGAGGGATGTACGCCACCCTCGCAGGAGAGTTGAAGCCGCTGCAGGGAAGAAGCCGGTGCCCTCCTGGTGGCTGAGTGGAGGCAGGATGGGATCGGGCAGGATCTTAATAGCAAACCTCACATCAAGATGCCGGTTTTCACTGGGGACCAAAATTCTGGGTCGAGGAGGAAGCGATGGGAATAACAGGTCTTTCCTTATCAGCTGGGCCCCCGTGCTGTGTCTTGGGGCCCAGTGACAGCTAGGGACATCATCTGTTATCCCAGAACTGGATTCCTTTGCAGCCTGAGGAGCGGGGACCGTGCAGGGAGGACAGAGTTCCTGGTCGCTTTGCCTTCCGCCCAGAAGTCTGCCTGCCCGGTGCGCTCAGGGCTCCGGGTCCCGCTCATTGACTCACACACAGATGCAGCACCACTGTGACAGCCCGGAACCTCATCCTTGCTTCTCTCCCCTGAGCTGCAAGCGCCCTGTGGAGCTGCTGGAAAGTCCCTTGTGCCTTGTCGTGTTGGGCGCAGGAGGCCACACGTCAGAGCTTTGACCCGGCAGTGGCTGGAGTCAGGCGCCACAGGCAGATGTGTTAAGCTGGGGACAGTGATGGGGCAGGGCAGCGCTCCTCCCAGCAAGGACACCCTGAGAGGTTGTCACATACCGTCCCTCCACAGAACGTGTGCTTGGGAACAGCCGAGACCCGCCCCTCCAGAGAGTTCCCTTAACACCAGCCTGGCATGTTGGACGCCTTGTGCTGTGACTTGCAAAAGAAAGCAGCAGAAGATTTAAAGAAGAGAAAGAGAAGTTACAGAGTCGGGCTGGCATTTTGCAGGCTGGGCCTGACAGTGTGGGGGTTTTCTTTTGTTTTGTTTTTTGTCTCTTTGAGACAGGGTCTCACTGTGCAGTTCAGGCTGGCCTTGAGCTCACTTTGTAGCCCAGGCTGGTCTCGAACTCGCAACAATCCTCCTGCCTCAGCCTCCCAAGGGCTGGGATTACAGGCGTGTGTAATCCATGCCTGACCTGACAGTGTGTTTTGCAGCGCAGAAGCCTGGCTGCTCGGCAGGAGGCTGGTGTGGGCGGGAGCCAAGTTCCCACCTGACAGGGCAGTGGTGGCCGGAGCCTTCAGGTCGAGCCAGGGTTTCTCCACGGCGGTGCAGGTCAGTCTCCTCAGCCTCTTCACCTCCTGGGCCCCCATACACCCTACAAAGCAGAAAACAAGAGTTTAGGGGAGATGTCAGGCTCGCTGTGTCCCTTGGCTGGTCTGTAAGGAAGCAACTTTAAAACCAGATTCACAGAGGAAGAGAGCCATGGCGCCCAGAAGTTAGCCTGGTTTGATGCAGTCGCCCCTGGATTAGGCTTCTGCTGGCCACGTGCTCCTGATTGTGGACACCTGGAAACATTGGCCCAGTTGCTGTCATTGTATATAAATGGCACAGTCCTCCGCATGTATTTATAAATTTCTATTTTTTGTATCTTTGGGGACCTTCTTGAAATGAGTATAAAAGTGTGATATGTGCCAGGTGTGGTGGCGCATGCCTGTAATCCCAGCACTCGGGAGGCTGAGGCAGGAGGGTCATCGTGAATTCTAGGCCAGCCTGGACTGCTTAGTGAGACCCTGTCTCGGAAAAAAAACAAAAAAATGTGATTTATGAAAATCACATGTAATAAAATAAAATCACATGTAATAAAAACTGATAATGGCCAGGCGTGGTTGTGCATGCCTGTAATCCCAGCACTTGGGAGGCTGAGGCAGAAGGATCGTTGTAAGTTCAAGACCAGCCTGGGCTACAAAGTGAGCTCAAGGCCAGCCTGAACTGCATAGTGAGACCCTGTCTCAAAAAAAAAAAAAAAGACCAAAAAAGAAAAACTGATAATAAAAACTTTGTAAACAAAAATTAAAATAATAATAAACATTTTGTAAGCAGAACCGTCAGGCGTTCAACTTAATTTGTTTCTGTGACACTTTTTGAATGCAAAGCTACATTCAAATACACACAAGTGTGTGGCCCTCCCGATGGGCACTGTGTTCTGGGTTAGCTTGGGAGTTCCATGTCTCCCTTGCTCCCCTCCACATTTAACGTCCAGGCCGTTCTATTTCATTTCTTTCCAGCGTTTTCATTTATTTTTTCTTCCTAGAGTAGTTCTCCAGTTCCTTTCTTTCCTTTTTTTTGTGTGGAGGGTTCTTTTTGAGACAGGGTTTCCCTATGTAGCCCAGGCTGGCCTTGAACTCCAAGCGATCCTCTTGCCTCAGCCTTGAGAGTGCTGGGATTGCAGGCGTGAGCCACCACATCTGGCCTCTTTGCCTTTTCTTTTAGTGCAAGGATCAAGTGAAAGGGCTGGGGACGTAGCTCAGTGGCACAGCGCCTACCTGGGAAGTGCAAGGTCCTGAGTTCAAATCCTAGTACCAAGAAAGAGGATCAAATCAAAGGTCTGTGCACACTGAGCAATGCTATATCCACCGGAGTATATTTTGGGGTGTTTTGAGATGAAGTCTCACCTACGACCCCATCTCAAAAAACCAAGCAGAAAAGAAAAACTGAAGATCACAGCACAGCCTTTTTTTTTTTGGTACCGGGAATCAAACTAAGGACCTACGCTTGCCAAACAGGCGCTGTGCCCCTCAGCTACATCCCTGGCCCAGCACAATTCTCTTGTGGGTCCTTCGGCGGGGGCCTCTGGACTAACAGCCGATCTCACCTCCCAGCCTCTGGGGCGAACACTCCAGGTCATCCGGGTCACCCGGAACCAAGCAGCTACTAAGCCACCCTGGCCCATTCCTGTCTCATCCCTGTGCTTGCAGCAGCCTCCCTGCTCCTGTCCATCCCACCCCGCCAGCCTCCTCACCTCCAAGCTCTAACTTGCCGCCGATTCTGCCCTCAGCAGTGGGACCTCCACATCCCGCCTGGCTGCCGTGGTCCTCTGCCAGCTCACTGTTTCTCTTGGGTGAGTTGCTTTCCGCCCACTCAGCAGGTAAGCCTTGAGTGCTTCTGTGTACGCCGGGCACCCTGCCAGCTCAGGAGAGCGTGCGGAAGGAGACGGACATGGTCCCTGCCTCCAGGGAACTCATTCCAGGGGAAGACTTAACAAAGACAGCAAACCAAAACCAGACATGGAGGCTCAGGCCTGTCATCCCTGTCATCCCAGCACTCTGGGAGGCTGAGAAGGGAGGTCCCAAGGTCCAGCCGGGCCTGGGGACTCCAGCTCCCCAGCCAGGTGACAGCCAGCTGTGGCTGTCTGGAAGGTCTCTCAGTCATCCCGGAGAATGTGGCCCCTTCCCGGGGAGCCCAGCCCACTGCTTCGTCCTCAGAAGTCCACCTCCCAGAGCACGTGCTGCAGATCCCGGAGGGTAGGTGTGCCCTCACCCTCAGCTGTCCCAGGAGCCAGTCCTGTGGCCTCTCCCGGACACCCTGCAGACGGCTGTGCTGCTATTCACCCAGACACCTGGACTGTGTCCTGCCTGCTGCCCTACGCACCCCACTCAGCCCTCCCTCTCTCCCCCAAAATAACAACTTTGCATGATTTTTGAGTTAGGGTCTCATTGTATAGGTCAAGCTGGTCTTGAACTCATTATATAACCCAGGGGGTGTTCGTCCTGCCTCAGCCTCGCAGGTGCTAGAATTCCAGGCATGCACCGCTATCCCTGGCTGCGTGATTTTTTTTGCATGGTTTAAAAATAATGAAGTAGCTTACGTTTATGTAGAACATACATCTACTTAACACTTACTGTGTGTCAGGTACTATTTTAAAACTTTATATCAACACATAATAAAGATACTACAGAAAGCTCAAAAGATAAAGAAGGATAAACAGCAGCCACCCCATGCCCCACCTGAGACCTCTTAGGGGGCTCACGGGCGCCCTTCAGAGCTCTTCACTGAGCACACAAGCAAACGGTCCGGTGCGCCGTTGTTGCATGGGTGGTGGTGTGGAAACACCACACTCTGCGTCTCCATGTGGGAGCCTGTGCCGGGTGGAACCTGCCATGTCTGCTAGGCAAGCCCTCCCCACCGAGCTGCACCCCAGCGCCCCTGTTTTGGGGACCCTCCCTTCCTGCTCTCCCTTCCCTTCCCTGAGATTCGGATTAGCCCTTACCTAGCGCCAGGGCCGAGTCTCGTGCTGGCAGAGCGGTGACAGCTGGTGACAGTGACAGAGCAGTGACACCTGGCTGCCTCCGAGCCTGGTGGCTGCGGCCAGGCCCCGGCTGCCACCCGGTGAGCTGCAAGTGACTGAGCTGCTGGGGGAGCGAGCTGGTGACGGTGTCAGTGAGCAGTGTGATGGCAGAGACTAAGTGTCACACGCCCAGTTGGTGTTAATCGTACTCGAAGGGGGGGCTGCCTCCTTCCCCAGAGACCCACTCACCTGCAGGCGCCAGCCACGGAGCGCGAGGTGTGCCTGGCCTCGGGGCCGCCCTCCACCCTGTCACATGGAACTGCAGGCAGAAGGGCTGTCCTTGGGCCTTGCTTCAGGTGGAGACTCTGCCCTCCCGGGAGTTCCAGCCCCGGTGAATCAGGGCCCCAGGCCCTCTCCAAGATGCCCGATGCCACGCAGGTGCCGCTACCCAGCCCCCTCCTCCTCCTCCTCCTGCCCCCTGCAGCCCTGCCTTCCCCAGGCCCAGCGGGCGTTTCTCCACCCCATCCCTTCAGTCTCTTCTCGTAGCCATCAATCACCTCCACACTCCCCTGCTTCCTCCGCACCACCATGGTCAGAAGCTGTCAAAAGCCGGGTGTAGTGGCACATGCACGCGGGAGGCTGAGGCACCAGGTTTGCTTTTTTTTTTTTTTTTTTTTTTTTTTTTTTTTTTTTTTTTTTTTTTTGGTTTTTCTCCGGTACCGGGAACCGAACTCACGACCTTGCACTTGCCAGGCAGGCGCTTTTGCCGCTGAGCTAAATCCCCAGCCCCCAGGATTGCTTTAAATTTGAGGCCAGCCTGGGCTACATAGTGAGTTCAAGGCCAGCCTGGACTACAGAGAGACCCTGTCTCAAAAAGACCAACAACAACAAAAGAAAAGCCATCACAAACCCAGTTCCCTCAGGATGCCCAGGTCACTAAGCACCGTGGCAGGCACCAGAGCGGGGCTAGGGTTCGACCAGTCCGCTGTCCTAGGATGATGCAAGGTTTCGGGTTCAGCTGTGCTGGGCTCAGCTTTCCTTTCCAGAGATCCAAGGGAAGAACCAGCTAGAATCCTTGGAAAACTCATGGAGCCTCTGTACTTTAAAAAGGTTCACACTGGGCATGATGACACGCCTGTAATCCATTCCAGCACTTGGGAGGCTGAAGCAAGAAGATTGCTGTGAGTTTGAAGCCAGCCTGAACTACATAGTGAGCTCACCTGCTGGGGCCAGTGGGAGCCATGACCTTCTCTTGAGGCACCCTGAAAGAAGACATTCCCCCTAGGCGTGTCAACCAAAGAACGTCCCCAGATGTTGCCAGCGGTCCCCCCAGAGGGGTTACCCCAGTGAGAAGCACTGAGTGGGAATGCAGGCTCCAGCAAGGAGCTGGTAGAAAAGAACTGAGGCTGGTGGAGACTTCTCCCCTTGAGCTGGAAGGTCTGTCACTGTTTCCTCTGTGTATGTAATCTCCCTGAGGCTGGAGTACAGGAATATTCTGGAAGGCGGAACTAAGCGGGACCGCAGAGCCCGAGGCTGACCACCTGCTAGGAGTTCCAGGCTGCTCTGTGACACAGAGCAAGGTCCCCAGCTTCCCTGGCTGTGGGCGTCACGGAGTAATCACAGCACTACGGACACTAGGGACACCCAGCCCAGCCTGAGTGGGCATCTGTGGGGAAGGAGGGACCAGGCACAGGGCCACAAGACACCCGCCCTGCTCAAGGTCCTGAGTGAGGAGGCAACCATCAGGGATGGTGGCTGCCATGACCTTGGCCAGGTGGCCATCGAGCAAGGACATCCCAGGGAGGGACTTGGCTGAGAGCCACCAGGTGCACTGCCCCAGCCGCGCGGGGGAATGACAGCCTCAGTCCTGGCCGGGAGGGACCGTGGCTACCAAGCAAGTCCTCAGCGTGGTGCTGAGGCAGACAAAAAGCAGCGGAGTTGTGGTGCTCAGGAGTCCCTCCCAGACGAACAGTGACCTGTGGTCACCTCCGGGGAATCCCAAGCCTATTCTCACTTCTGTCCCTCTCAGAGTAGGAATCCAAGAGGCCTGTCACACCCTCCCCAGCTTGGGGACAGAGGCTTTAGTTTAGAAAAAAACAACTCATACAGTAACATCTTTTGTCTTAAAAACAGCCCCCGTGTGCCATGAATTTGCTACCGCTGCCCTTTCTAAAGCCCTTTCTAAGAACCAGACAGCCAGGCTTGGTGTTGCACACCTGTGATCCCAGCACTTGGGAGGCTGAGGCAGGAAGATTGCTGTGAGTTCAAGGCCAGCCTGAACTGAATAGTGAGATCCTGTCTCAAAAAATAAAGCGTTGGGGATGTAGCTTAGTGAGAGGGCCCCAGGTTCAATTGCCAGTACCACAAAAACAACACAGCAACAACAAAAACCTCTGATGCCCTCACCTTGTACCATTGTTTCCTAGCTCCTGGTTCTCCATTTGAGGGCAATGAGCTTTGGCCCACCAGGCAGGAGTCCCGGCATTAAGGCACCCTGATACCTTTGTGATGAAACCTTAGGGACTTATCCTTTTTTTTTTTTTTTTTTTTTTTTTTTTGGTTTTTCTCCGGTACCGGGAACCGAACTCACGACCTTGCACTTGCCAGGCAGGCGCTTTGCCACTGAGCTAAGTCCCCAGCCCGGGACCTAGCCTTAAAACTGTACTTTCGCACCACCTACAAATTCAGCAGATTAGATGACACACACATCTGGAAACAGCAGGGTCAGATGTTCATATGTCCGTGGGAGAGAGACCTTTATAGCACCTGAGGAGTGCTCGACAATATTTAATTAAGTACTAACATACATTAGCCAGGGATGGTGGCAAATGCTACAGTTCCAGCTTCCCAGAAGGCTGAGGCAGGAGGATCACAAATTCCAGGCTATGCTGGGGAACTTATCTGAACATACAGAGCAGCTGGCGATGCAGTTCAGAAGTAGGTTTGCTGGGTATAGTGTGCACACCTGTAATCCCAGCACTGGGGAGGCTGAGATAGAAGGATTGCTGCAAGTTCCAGGCCCGTTTGTGCTACATAGTGAGCTCAAGGCCAGCCTGAACTACGTAGCAAGACCCTGTCTCAAAAAAACAAAAAAATAAAGAAGTAAAAGTTTTGACTAGTGTGTGTAAGGCCCTGGGTTCAATTCCCAGTACCACCACCAAAACAAAGTACTAACGTATTCATTCAGCAAACATGTTGAGTTGGGCCAGGAACAGCACTAGGCACTGGGGCTACTGTGTTGTGAGAGGCAGCCCTTGAGTTGAGATGTGTATAAACTGCTGCGGGAGACAGCAGCACGTCAGTGCGTGGGGCGCTGTGGGAGACCCTCAAGGTGCTGTGGGTCCATCGGGTGAGCAGTGTCTGCTGCTGAGCACGGGGCAGAGCTGTGGTAGGGCTGGGGAGGGCACCTGCAGGCACTGAGCATCTGGGCCTCCGGAGGATGGCAGCATGGTGGCAAGTGTTCTGGCTGCGTGGGTCTTTAAACCCTGCACTGAGCTACATCCCAGCCCTTTCTTATTTTGAGGCTGGGTCTTCTAAGTTGCTAAAGTCTCCAGGACGGGTGCAGGGAGGAGGGGCCCATCAGCACCAAATCGGAAGGAAGCTGCAGGGCCCTGAAATTGCCTGCGGGTCTGGTCTCAGTGCAGACTGGGTGTTCACCGTACACCCATTGCCAGCCCCACCTTGTGTCCCAGAGAAGCAGTCTGCAGCCCAGGCATCCCTGGGCCCGGGAGGGAGGGAGGTGGAGCAGGCTGGACGCCTGGCCTTGGTGGCCGAGCCCCTCACACTAATGACGGGACGCGGAGATGAACAGTAGGTGGGTGGGGCAGGCAGGTCAGGACCGGCCTGACAGCGCAGCACCACGGTAGCCTGCTCACTCGTGCAGCTCTGCAGTTGTTCTGCTCTGCAGCCCCGCCTGGCAGGGAGTTCAGGGGCCGGCCTTGAGGGGCTTACAAGGCAGGGAGCGACCTTTCCCAGGCGGATGGGCCCTTGCCCTGCGGCTCTTTGGGCACAGCTTTGGGCTGGGCCAGGTCCAGCCAGAAGGTGAGGCTGTGGGTTCTGGCCTGTGGGACTGGGCCCACCCAGGGAGCAGCACAGGCTGCAGAAACCAGGGTGCGGCCGGGTGTGGCTGTGCCACCTGGGAACTCCCTGCTCACTCTCCCCACTCTCCCCTCCTGGAAGTCCAGGGCCAGTCCAACCAGGACGGGGAAAATGGGCACAGGGCAGTGTGGGGCCAGCCGGCTCTTCTGCACCTCAGCGCCCTCCCAGGGCCAGCATCTCTTCCCCAATGATGTGGACTCGGTGCTGGGATCACTGGTGGCACCAGCTTCACTTCTGATGTTTCTACGCGCTCTTTTTATTCTCTCCTACACCACTGTTGCCATGACGGGAGCCAGGTCCGTATGGGGCTGGCTGCACACCCGGGCCAAGTACAGTGCCCGGCGCCTGGCACCCAGGCAAACCCTTGTTAGATGAGCTTGTGGCTGTCTCTAATCTTCACATAGCCTTAGGAGGTAAACCTTGCTATCCTGTCTGGAAGAAAGGGGCTCCCAACAGTCCAAGAGACAGTTTGTTATCACCAGCCCTTGGCTTTGCTCCTTGCCCTGGAGGGATCTGAAGAACAGGAAAACCTGAGGCCGGTCAGACAGTCGGTCAGACAGACAGACAGAGAGCCGGGCTGGGCCTGCTGTGCTCCCATTCCCAGGAGAGTTGCCCGCATCTCCCACACCCAGGAGCTCGGAATCATCACTCAAAGCCAAAGAACAGGAGGCCAGTCTCAACTGGCTCTGTTTATTTCCCAAGCCAAGCGAGACCAAGCCCTGCCCCACCCACCCCAGAGCGGCCTAGAGCCGGGCGGCCACACCCCTCCTCAAGCCTGGACACAGCAGGTGAATTAGTGAACTCTTCTGTAAACCGTGGCCCGGGAAACACGCGTATTTCTAGAGCCAGGGCTGGCCTTGGGTAGAGGTGCTGCCTGAGCACAGGACCCAGACCCTTCCCCTCAGGGTGGCTGGCCAGGCTCACCAGGGTGCTAACCCACCCCGCACTTTCTTCCTGGAAGTGGTTCATCTGCTGTCTGGCCCTGTGGCCAGGACCTCGGCTAAAACTCCCATGGGAAGCTGCTTCCTGGCTCCCCCTCTGAGGGGCCACTCCCCACCCTTCCTCCTGAGCCCTGGTCTCTAACTTGGAGACACTGACAGCAAACATGATTGTTCGTGATGTCGTGCCAAGCTGGACTTAAAAAGTGGTTCTAGCCAGGCGTGGGGGCACACACCTGTAACCCCAGCACTTGGGAGGCTGAGGCAGGAGGTTCGTTGTGAGTTCAAGACCAGCCTGGGCTACACAGTGAGCTCAAGGCCAGCCTGAACTGCATAGGGAGATCCTGTCTCAAAAAGACAAAAAAAAAAAAAAAAAAAAGTTCTAATTCACTGGAAAACAAGCATAAGTCTGGGCTGTCTGGGCAAAGGACAAATGGTCACCGCACTGATAGGTCACCTCTGCTCCATCCTGTACTCGTGACTTCCCTGCCAACAGTGACCTTCTTTGGGACCTCTGTGCCTACCTTCCGCCCTCCGAGGTCTGCCAGCATCGTGGCCTCCATAGGTGACTTTGGGGGACTGGTAGTGCTGGGGTCAGGAACCCCCACAGGAGACCTGGCCGTGCAGGCTTCTGCTGTCAGCCCCCGCTCTCGTGGCTCCTTGCGTTTGAACAGGAGAGCAGCTTCATCCTCGGCCTGCTGTCCCTGCTCACCAAGTCTCTCTGCCTGGGCCTCCGTGGAGCTAAGCGCAGGGCCAAGGGGATGGGAGACCCCCTGCGCCCAGCTATCTTAGAACCTGGTCAGTAGGCGGCGCTTGAGAAACTGCTCTCAGTGAATCTCAGTACAGCAAAGAGTCCCAGGGAGCGGAGGCTCAGGGTCTGCGAGACTGCCCCTCTCCTCCCTCTTCACCCTCCCCACCCACATCTGCAGGGTCCCCAGCCGCGCCCACACGGAGCTTTGGGAACAGCCTCCCTGGGCTCCGCTGTGGTTAGATCTGTCTGTTTTCGGGGAACGAAGACTCCTCCGCGTCCGGATCAGGCTGTCTGACACCGGCTTTGACCCTCCCACCCCCCACAGTGACAGATTCCCAGGCCCGGCCCCTCGGAGCGGAGCTGCGGGCGAGGGCTCAGGACATGGTTTTCCGGTGGGCACGCGGGTAGGCGTAGGAGATGGGATGGCGCGTCCCGGGCCTCACGGTGAACGTGTTGATGTGCGACCTGGGGGAGGACGAGAGAGCCATGAGGTTCCTGTACTGCTGGTCCCTCACCCCGCCCTGTCCCCCAGGGCACCAGCGCAGCAGGCAAGCGAGGCCCAAGGGAGTCCCCTCCGGGCAGCGAGGTCCCCTCCCGTCCGCCCAGGAGTCAGAGGCCAGCGGCCCGGGCGCATCACCTCCCCAGTCCGCCCACCCCGCCCCGACCAGCCCAGCCCCAGCTCACCTGCCCATGGCGGGCGAGGGGCAGTGCTCCCCGGCTGTGTCCCCAGGCATCCTGTACTTGGCGTCCCCCGTGCCCCGTGCCACTGCGCCCTCTAGCGACATCCGCCGGCTGTGGATGGCAGCAGGGTGTGTTCGTCCGGCCGAGGGGATGCGGAGCGGCGCGGGGCCGTTGGGGGCGCCCTGGCTGCGGCCAGGCCCGGGGGCGCGGGGTGGCTCACCCATGTACAGCCGCTTCTTGATGAGCGAGCGGCCCCCGGGTGAGCCGCGCTCCGGGACGCGCGGGAAGGCCAGGGCGCGCGGGAAGGCCAGGGCGGGCGGCCGCCCCAGGTCCCTGGGGGCGGAGGGCGCAGGGTCGTTGCTGAACTCTGGCGGTGGTGGAATGACCTCGAAAGTGAACTCCTCCTCATCCTCGTCTTGCCTCCTGCAGAAAGGCGAGGGCGGCGAGGACAGGGACCTGGGAAGCAAGGGGTCCTGGGGGAGGCTGGAGGGGACGGGCCTGTCCCAGGTCCCCCCGGGGGTGTGGGGCTGCGTTGCTGTCCACCGAGGCAGCGAGGCTGGCTCTGTGCTCTCTGGGGGCTTCGGCTCACCGGGCACCGCAGGCTGTGCTGACCTGGGCAGCAGGATGGCCTTCTCTGCCTCCTTGGGGACCACCGTGAAGGAGTAGGGTTTGCAGTCTGTGTGGAAGACGCCGTCTGACCTGGGCTCTGGCGGGCTGCCGCGGCCTCGAAGGCTCCCAGGCAGGGAGGACCGGCCCTGGGCAACCCCTCCAGGCCGCCCCTTCTGTGCCCTCTGCCTGGCTGCCAGGAGCAGGGCCATGGGGGACCCGCGCTCCACCACCTCCCCAGTCACCGGGTGCCGAAGCAGTTGGTCAGCAGGCGGGGACGGGCCTGGGGGTGCGGCCGGCCGGTCCTGAGGTCCCCTCAGCTCCACAGGCCCTGCTGGACCTGTGGCCGCTCCTCTGGCCAGCGTGGGCCTCCCTGTGGCAGCCTCGCAGCTGGGGCTGCTCTGGTGGCCGTGGGGCTTGTAAAGGAGCCGCACTTCTTCCTGGCCCAGTGATGTTTTGGGTGCCAGTGGCCCGGTGACCCCTGTCGCAGGTGCTTCTGACCGTGGCTGGGAGGGCGCTGGGCCTTCCTGAGGTTCCGGCTGCTCCTGCTGCCCGCCTCGCTCAGCTGGAACTGGCTCCTTCTCTGCCATCGGGTGGGATGGCATGGTGGGCTTCAGGGTGGCCAGGGGTGTGGCCAGCCCAGGGGTGCCCTTGGGAGCAGCAGCTGGCCCAGCGGTGGCCGTGGACTGCAGTGGTGTGGTGGAGCAAGGCGGCGGATCCTTGGCCACAGGCTTAGGGAATTTGCCATCATTGGTCTCCTTGACCAAGCCGCGTCCTCCTTCTAGCTGAGGTTTGGGAGGCAGAGAGCCCACGCTGGGCTTGGCGTCCTTCTCTGCAGATGCAGACAGCCGGGCCTCCAGCTCCTTCCGGATCTGCTGGACACTGGGGATGGGGGTGTCCTGGAGGTCATAGTCCACAGGCGGGAGGGGCAGGCTGGGACTCTTCTCAGGGACTCCCAAGGGCGTCTTGTCAGGCAGGCTTTGGGAGGTCGCCTCCCCTGGGGGACTCGGGCTCTTCTTGCCCTCCTTGTCTTGAGCGGCCACTGCGGGGCCCGGCCTGGGACCGAGGGCTCTGTCCTCCCTCTTGGGCCCACAGAAATAGGCTGCCAGCTGGCTCCGCAGCTGCTCCAACTGCCCGGGATCTCGCCAATCTTTGGGCTCTGAGGAGGCCACGGGCTCTGGGGCGGGGAGTTTAGGTTTGGACTTGGGCGTGGGTTTGAGAGCTGGGAAGCTGGATTTGGGGAGTTTGGGGAAACCAGCTACTGCGGGGGCTGCCTGCTCAGCAGAAGGCAGTGGAGGGGGTGGAGGGGGTAGAGGGGGTGCGGCGGGAGGAAGTGGAGGTGCTGGGGGAGGTGGCGGAGGCCTAACTGGTTTATTTGTGGGGGCCTTGGCCTGGCTGAGTCTTGGGCTGTGTGGAGCCCCGGCCCCGGGCTCCCTAGAGTGGTCTGGCTCAGGGGTCCTGTCTGGGTACACCTGGGATGCAGGGCGGATGTGGAAGCTGGGGGGCAGTGGGAGGCGGCCGGGGGCCTTCTGAAGGGCGCCCTCTTCCTCTGGGGCAGCCCCTTGGGCTTCCAGAGCTGGGATGGATGAGGTCCGGACCGGGGTTGGGGGAGGGACCTTGGATGAACGGGGGACGGTGAGGTGGGTCTCAGGGTATGGTCTCCTCAGCTCAGCAGGGCTCCTAGGGGGGCTAATCTTGGGGGTTTCTGGCTGCCTGCCATTCAGGGCCACCTCTGGTGTCCACTTAGTGACCCCCCCAGGGGGAAAGAGGTGAGTCCCCTCTGTGTGAGGAGATGCAGGAACTGGGGGGGATGGGGCCGGCACAGAGGGTGGCGGGGGGGCCAGAACTGCCAAGGGAGGCGCGGGTGGGATGAAGTCGGGCAGGCTGGGTGTGGACGGCGGGGTGGGTGGGGGTGGCGGTGGGGGTTCCACCACCAGGGGAGGAGGTGGGGGAGCTGTGGAAGGGGGCGGTGGTGGGGTCTCCCCTGTAGGCTGTGGCAAGTCCTGGGGTGGCCCTGGGGCTGGGCCTGGGGGAGGAGGGGGGATGAGTGTGTCCTGGCCATAGGGTCCGGGCCTCAGGTCCCCCACAGAGCTGTAGAGCCGGAGGCTGCCGTTGACCAGCGAGCTGCCCCCTGAAAGAAGGGAGAGGCGGATGGAGAGGTGGCCTTGCCACCGTCTGCTGTGCGCTGGGCTGGGGTTGCCCAGGAGCAGCAGCCTCCGGCTGTGGGTCCCATGGGAGAGGCGAGGGAGGGGAGCCGCACACAGGGTTGCGCACTGGTGGCCCTGGCCCAGCAGCTCACGTTGCTGCCCTCTTGGCCTGGCCTCCCTCCCCTGAGGGCCTAGCAGAGCAAGGAGCTGGGGAAGGGGCTGCCGCTGACAGCCACAGGGAACCCAGGCATCGGGCTCTGAGTTAGGAGCTGGGATATAGCACTAAATAGAGCACCAGCTGGGCATGGTGGCTTTGCCTTTGACCCAGCACTCAGGAAGCTGAGGCAGGAGAATCCCTGTGAGTTCAAGGCCAACTGGGCAAGATAGTGAGACTCTGTCTCAAAAACAAACAAAACAAAACAGAGCAAACGATAGCAGAGCCTCCTAAAGGGGCAGCCAGCGCTAACTCCCAGAGCACGGTGCTCTGCAGTGTTAAAGGGGGCTTTGGGAAGGGCCAGAAAGCAAGGGACAGGCCAGATCGTGGGGTCCTCAAAGGCCTTTCTTTTGAGGGACACGGAAGTTCCCAGCCAGTTCTAAGCAGCGGTGTGACAAGTGACTTAATCCCCTGCTATACTCACTGATGCCCCCAAAAGGAGCAGACATGAGGGGTTGGGGGACTTGCCCAGGTGGACAGGGCCAAGGTGAGGGCACGGACCCATAGCAAGGATCGTCTGACACCATTGGTTGTGTCACTTAATTATTTTAAAACATTTTTCACTTTTTAATGTTGAGACAGGGTCTACATCACTAAATTTGCTCAAGCTAGGCTTAAAATTAGGATCCTCCTGCCTCAGCCTTCCAGAGTGCTGGGGTTACAGGTATGTACCACCATGCCTGGCTCCGTGCTTGGCTTTTGAATTCTGAGCCAAAGGAAAGAAAGATCGGACAAGCCCTAGCCCGAGTCCTCTTACCTGTCTCACCTTTGTCTGCAAAATCTTCAGGGACAGAGGGGGTGGGCACAGCCAGCCCATGGCTCTCCTGGGCATTCTGAAAGGGACCAGAGAGAGATCAGGGGATGAGGAAAGGACAGATCATTCATTCTTTTTGAGACAGGGTCTCACTATGCAGTTCAGGCTGGCCTTGAGCCTACTTTGCAGCCCAGGCCAATCTTGAACCCACAGCAAAGATCCTCCTGCCTCAGCCTGCCAAGTGCTGGGATTACAGGCATGCGCCACCACCCCCAGCTCATTTTTAAATCATGGCAGCGAGGCCATTGAATGCCTGGAAACCCGCAGGGTGGTGTGGCTGTGTCATGTTGTTCCTGAGCTTGTTAAAACCGGAACACGTGCATTTAAGAGGGCAGAGCCCCGGCCTAGTGGGCTGTGTCACTCTTGATGACCCCGCTCCACAAGCTACAGGCAGCATGGGGTCCCTGACCGAGCGGAGTGCAGGGGGCGTGTGGCAGGGCTCCAACTGTGTCTCATGCTTGTGTTTAAAGACAAAGACACGGTGTCCTGCTTGACCCCTGCTGAGAACAAGCCCTAGTCTCATGAAATTGTCACTGCTCTGAGCCTGAGGGCCACGGAGCAGCAGGACTATTGATCCTGGGTTACACATAACTCCGGCCACCAGGCCAGCTGCAGGCACGGAGTCTGCACCAGCGAGGGGCCCTGTCTTAACTAAACACACACACAGAGGCATCTGCGGCAGCCACCATGGGAGGGGGGAGGAGCTCAGCACCCCCCCCCCATTTTCATGAGGTTCTTACAGAAAAGTGGATGGGAACACGCTGAGCCGGTGTTAGCAGAGCCACAGAGCACCCCGCTCGCTAACCTCAGCAGGCTGTGGTGCACAGCCGCCCGGCCCACTCGCTCTGCGTGCCGCTTCTCCATGTGAGCCAGGTCCGCACTCCTGTCCCTGTGAGGCGTGGCAGAGCATTCCGTGGCTCCTGGCGACCTGGCCTCCTGTCCCACACACCCACACATCCATCCTGCATTGCAGCCCGGACAGCCACTCCCTCGGTGCCACACCTGGAGTCCACGAGCACCAGATGCTGGGGGTGGGTGGTTGTGGTCCCACTCCAGACCCATTTCTCGTTCCTTTCTACTGACCTACATCCCAGCCCTTTTTTTTTTTTTACCTTTTTTTGTTTTGTTTTGTTTTGGTGTGGTTTGGTGAGACACGGTCTCCCTATGTAGTTCAGGCATCTTCCTGCCTCAGCCTCCCAAGGGCCGGGATTACAGGTGTGCACTGCCGTGCCCAACCCTCATCTTTCCTTTCTTAAACAACTCTGAAGCCCGTACAGCCTCACACCATCATCTCATTCCTTTCTGCCTCTGCTTGATCCATGTGGACAACAACGCATCTGATTTTTAACATTTGTCCACAACAGGGGCCAGGGACAGGGCCATCCGAGACCTCGATACCACACGCATACAAGTCACGGTCGAGTGACCCCCGTGGGCCCTGCGTCCTGATTCTGACCTGAAGCAGACTGCGCCTTCAGGGTCGGGCGGGGACAGCAACGGTTGGACACATTCATGCATGGGCCGTGTGCCAGCACAACACAACGGCTCGACCGATGTCACCTCAGGCTACCTCGCCTCTCCTGTGTACCCATCACCATCCGTTCCCCGCCCCCGTGTGAAAACAGAGCGGGGCTTGGTGGTCTCAGCACTTGAGAGGTTGAGGCAGGAGGATCACCTTGAGTTCGAGGCCAGCCTATGCTACCTGCTGAGACCCTGTCTCAAAAAAACAAAACAAAACAAAAAGTGGAGATGCAATTTCCTGCTCTGCAGGGCTCTTGAGAGAGACAAATGGCCTAAAATCCCCAGCCCAGGAACCAGGGTAGTCCATCAACTTTTTTTTCTTTATCTTTTTGAGACAGGGTCTCACTATGCAGTTCAGGCTGGCCTTGAGCTCACAGTGATCCTCCAGCCTCAGCCTCCACACGCATCTCATCAACTCTTCCTACCCTGCCCCCTACAAGGTTGAAAAACTGTGAAGCATCAAAGCCAGGATGCTGAACCCTAGAAGCCCCTCCCTGCTCCCACAGTAGTAATTATGTGTCCAGGAAGGCGTAGGAGGAGCTCACCGCCCAGAGGTCGAGCTCCCAGTGCAGCCTTTCATCTCTTCTGTTTTTGTTTTCTTTGCTGATTTTTGCAGTGCTGAGGGTTGAGCCCAGCACACTCTACCACTGAGCTACAGTCCTCACCCCTTGCCTCTTACATCTTGAGATAGGTCTCACCAAGTTGCCCAGGCTGACTTGGAATTTGTGATCCTCCTGTCTCAGCCTTCTGAGTAGCTGGGATTACAGGTGTACACCACCACACCCGGCCTTGATTGATCATTTTTATTTTTATCTGTGGGGTGCTAGGGATGGAACCCCAGCTAGGCAAGCCCTGCCTGCCTCAGGTACACCATTGGCTTCACTTTTGATCTTAAAGCACTCTGTGAACACAGGGCAGAAGGCCAGCTTTGAGTGGCTGCCAGTATCAGCTCAGGCAGAGCTCTAGCTTTTTAGGTCTCTCCACCCACAAGAGGGGCCAGAGGCCACACCCAGCACAGCACCGCAGCACTCAGGTCCTCTGGGGAGCTGGGGGACCACGCTGAAAGGTCCCAAGTCCCTAGTCCTGGCCCGGCCTCTCCTCCTCTTGCACCCCAGCGCCCTGTGCCCCAGCAGCCCTTTCCATGGCGGGTGGGGCGGGGGGTATACCAACACTTTTTAGTCTGCACTTAGAGGGACCCAAGCTGGTAGCATGCAGTGTGCTGGCCTGGACACTGTAGATGTGGACAACGTCAATGTCCATAGGTGTTGAATTTCCCGCCCTCCTCCTTTAGCTCCAAGAACCAAGGAGAAGCAGAGAAGCCTCACTAAAGAAAAGGTCTTGACCAGTGAGTTCAAGGCCAGCCTGAACTACACAGCAAGTCCGTCTCAAAAACAGCAACAACCAATAAAGAAAAGAAAAGAAAAATAAAATGAGGGTTTGTTCCAGGGGTGTGTGATCTCAGCACTCAAGAGGCTGAAGCAGGAGGGTCACCGTGATTTGGATATCAGCCTGAACTAAATAGGGGAGACCCTGTCTCAAAAAACAAAAACAGAAAAAAGAGGGATCTATGCAGCATCAGTCTAGGATTCCACAACCGCCATGAGTGTACCAGGAAGGGCATTATTGGGGCAATTGGCAGTAACTGAACACAGTGTATCAGGTAACAACATTGTTGCATCAACACTAAATTCCAGAATGTTACAGATCTCCAATCCTAGGGGATGGAAATACCCACTGAGCTAGTGGGAACAAAGGGACACAATGTCTCCATTTGCTCTTCAATGGCTCAGAAAGAAACAAAGTGTACATAGAAAAGAGAAGAAACAAAAGATTAACAAAATGTGGTCAAACTCCTCCCCACCATTCTTTGTAACTCTTCTGCATTCTAGGGTTCCTTAGAAAGTTATATACTTACTGCCACTAAATTGTACACTTTCAAATAGTAAACTTGCCAAAGTGTGGTGAGTTAAGCCTTGGGAGGCTGAGGTAGGAGGATCTCCATGAGATGAAGGCCAGACTGAATTACTTGTCTCAAAAAAAATCAAAAAAGATAAATTTTATGTTATATGTATTTTATAAAATTTTTTAATAACTGGGGCTGGAGGTGTAACTCAATAGTACAGCACTTGCCTCGTATGTGTGAGGCCCTAGGTTCAACCCCCAGCATTGCCATTAAAAAAGTTACAGTCTTAGCACTCTGAGAGGCTGAAGCAGAAGGATCATAAATTTGAGCCTGGCCTGGGCAAATTAGCAGTTTAGGGAGACCCCGTCCAAAATGAAAAACTGGCTGAGGATATAGCTCAGTGCAAAAGCCCTGGGTTCAATCCCCAGTGCAGAAATAAGGATGGGGATATAGCTCAGTGGCGCAGCACCCGCTTGGCAAATGCAAGGCCCTGAGTTCGATTTCTAGTACCAAAAAAGAAAATAGAAAAAAGGACCAAAAATAAAAAAGTAAAAAATTAAGAACATCCAAAGAGCAGCCAGGACCAAAAATAAAAAAGTAAAAAATTAAGAACATCTAAAGAGCCACACAGGTGCCTGCCTGGCAAGGTCCTGAGTTCAATTCCCAGCACCAAAAAAAAAAAAAAAAGAACATCCAAAGGAAAAGCAGGGAGGGGGAGCTGCTCAGGACAGGTGCCACCGCCTCCACAGGGCCAGGCCACGCTCGTCCAGCCCTTACTGTGTCCCAGAGCTGTCCCAGACCTTCCACCCCAACCCACTTCCTGTGTGCTGCGACTCAAAGAGGCTGGCGCCCTTTGGCACCTGTTTACAGAAGAGGCAACTGAGGCACAGAGGCGGACACACCCAAGGCCCCACCCTAGTTACCGTACCTGCAAGCGCAGCCTGGCCCCAGTTCCTACAGTCACTCCCAAGGCCCCTCCCTCCCTCCTCTGTGAGTCCGCAGACCCCCAGCCTCACTCTCCCAGCTGACATTTATTAGGCACCTCCTGCATACAAGTCACCTCGCCGAGTACCCAGTCAGAGTTCACAGGAACCCGAGAGACAGGTTATCGTTTTCATTGTACGGATGGGGAAGCTGAGGCACGGGCAAGCCAAGTACACTGTCCGCAGTCACGCAGCTAGCCAGGGGCAGGGCCAATGTGGGGACCTCACAGTCCAACCCTTTCCTGCTGGTACCTGAGGCAGGGCGGCTAGTCCTTGGGTGACCTGACACATGTCCGTCGAGTAAGCAAACCCCATGAGCAAGAACACAGGACACAGAAATGTGAGCTCCGCTGCCAGCGTGGCCAGCTGTGTGCGCACACTGAGGTCACCCCTCTCCGGGGCTCAGTGTCCCACCCCTGGGTGGGCATGCTTCACGGTGTCCTGGCCCGCAAGCATCCCTCTGTGACCTGCTCACCTGTGTGCCGGGGGTGGCGACCTGGATTCTCTGGGCCACCCGCGAAGGACAGGGTGTTGGGTCAGTCAGCTGCCACGGCCCCTGAGTGGCTGCCTGGCTCCCAAGAGGAAGTGGGGAGTGAGGCGGGGGCCTGCATA